ACATCTTTCCCTGCGTATTAGTCTTCAGCCCTGATTAGACTGAATCACAGTTTCACCACATTAATCATCTAAAACTTTGTACTGGCTTTTTAAAATAGGGAGCGAAATGTGTTCCTTGTCAACTTAGTAAGGAATGCTTATTTTTAGTTTTAAATACAGAACGACTCTTTCTTTTAAGGAACAGTTGGCAACCCTACTTATGTTTACCCAAAGACCTTTTTTTTTATAGTACAAATGAGGTTTTGCAGTAATGGACACTCAGATTTTTTTAAAGTCCTCATTTTATTTGCCACTTGCTCTATTTTATAGCAGGCTGGGCTCTTAATAAGGACAATTTTACAGAAATGGAAGCAGTAAGAGAAGTGTTTAGTCTAACCATAATTTTCTTCTATAAAGATTTATGTCAGAATGAACAACAGACTACCTACTGTTTTGAAATGCTTTTAAATGGACTGTTTCACTGTCTTAGATATCAGATTTGCTTGTATCATGTACATAAATAAAGCTGTGTGATGTTTTCTGATAACTGTTGTTTGAGACAATAATCTGTGGAAGGAACCTGACGGAGTTTCGAAATTTCCGTGGCTCAGAGAGAACTTTATATAAATAATGTATATAAAATGTAAGCCTTTTTCGGTTGTGATGCTTAGTTTGTAAAGTGTAAATAGCTAGGCAAATAAAATAATTGTAGGTGTTTTTAGATTGTCTCTGTTGTCATTTATCTTCTTGACGTTTAACAGGCTAGTTTTTCATATTCATGCGTAATTTTCATCACATTATGTTGAATAAATACAGCATGAAACATTTTTATTCCCCAAAAATTGAATTAAAAACATCTTATATAAACGCATGTAGTCACATTTATTTATACTGACACTGTTTTCAGACTCCAAATAAAGGTAATTTTTTTCAGTTTCAAATCCAAAATTTTAAAAGCTTTTGTTGGGGTATGCTAAAATCCAACAATTAACTAAACTSTATTCACTGCCATTATTACCTGCTGGCAGAGATTTAGAGACAGTTTTTGCCTGTATCTGTGTGTGTTTGAACTCAAAATTTGAGCTAAACATTTTAGCAGAAGTCATCCTAAATTGACTCCAAGCTCCACASATTGCACAAAATCAATGCCCAAACCTCATGCTTTACCTTTGTTGTCAACCCCGTTTGTCTGTTAGTAAAATATCTCTTGAAAAACACAACAGATTTCAATGAAACTCTCACAAAGTAATCAATGTGTGTACGTCTACAACTGTTTACAGTTTGGAGTGATGCTTATTCAAGGTGGCCACTGCAACTAATCATTTTCAGTCAACACAAAAATGGTTATAACTCTGTCAGTTTCACAGATTTTGAGGTAAATTTGGTGTGGTAGTAGCTGAGAGTCATTGTCAGCATATATGCAGAGCATTAACACACCTCGGGAGATTTGGCTGTTGGGAAAACCACTTAGAACTGGAATGAAATGTGGCGGGCAATTTGTATTCTTTAACCTGCTGAGACCCAAGCTTTTGTTTGATGTACAGTTTTTTCTTTCTCCAAGCAAAATACATGGAATTAGTAGGACCTAATAAATGTAATGTTGTGGAACCGCAAGTGTCACCCCCCCATGAAAAAAAAAAAAACAATGTCCTTATATGAGGACATTGGGTCTAAAAACATCACACTTGTTGAATAATAGCAGAGCCAGTTTTGGCAGTGTTTATAATGAAGTCAGTAGGTCAAAGTTGAAAAACACTAAGTAGTGTGGTGCAGAGAGGAAAAAAATACAATGTCCTCATATGAAGCTGCAGGGTCTCAAAAGCCTATTCAAAGGCTATTCGCCACAAAAAGAAAAAAATTGTGTAGGTCTTCTGGACGGGTTCTTCTCTAATGAAACGTCTCGTCTCTCCTCCAGGAGACTTCTTCAGTCTGAGCGTTTCAGGCAAAATTCAGGCTTTTAAGCCCTGCCTCCATGTGATTGATACTCACATCACATGGCTATCGTTGACACCTAATTAACACTTATTGTTAACAGGGAGTGATACTGGCAATGGCAGCGCTGTAGGAGGGGGACAGCTGAAAACTGAGGCCTCCACCTCTGTTTAATGATGGACAGTCTTTCTTCACAAAAATGGCTTCTTTTACTCCTCTCTCAAACCAACGTTCCTCTCTATCAAGAATGAGAACATCCTCATCTCTGAAAGAGTGACCGCTGGCCTGTAAATGAGTGAAAACTGCAGAGTTCTGGCCATTAGACGTAGCTCGTCTGTGTTGGGACATTCTTTTGAACAGTGGCTGCTTTGTTTCCCCGATGTATAACTGGTCGCAGTCCTCCTGGCACTTAACAGCATATACAACATTGCTCTGTTTGTGCSGGGGCACCGGATCTTTGGGGTGAACCAGCCTTTGCCGTAATGTGTTTTGGGGCTTGAAAGCCACTGGGACATCATGTTTAGAAAATAAACGTCTCAGTTTCTCCGAAACACTCGCAACATACGGAATAACCACTGGTTTGTGGCTATTCGCCTTATTTCATAGCTATGCTATGGCCTTTAATTACAACAGCCTTTACTTGCGAGAGATCAATTGCTTGTCCACATGGTGGCGCTGTGCACAAGTTCTTCTATCATCCTCATCTTATGCACACTTTACGAAGACACATTTAGCTCTTTTTTTTATCTGGTTTTCAGACACACAGCGCCTCCTGCGTGGTGCAGTCAGTCCCAGAGGACAGCTGCCACTGGCTGTCTTAATCCTCACCGACTCCGTTTCAGGCAGAAATGCAGAGGAATGAAACGGCAGTCTKCGTGCCACACGCTCCACTCCGGAAATCGCGCGCGCAGACCCGAGCTCACCTGCTTTTAATTGGACCATCGCGACAAGTTGCTCGAAGTGACGTCAGCGCCACTGACTGACTGCCTACAACGCGACGAGGACACAGCTTCTTCTTCTTTTTTTTTTTTTTATTATCATTACTTCACGTGAGAGTGAATAACTGAGCCGCAGCGAGGCACGCGCTCTCACCAGGCGGAGAGAAGACGAAAAGGCAGGCGGCGTGGTGGGGAGCAGCGCGCGCGGGCACGTTTCAGCCTGTGGACGGATGGAGGCAGAGCWGAGGGCTCACAGCGTCTCGGCATGGACCAAACAGCCTCTAGTTAGTTGAACTGAAGAGCAGAGACTCGGACTTTATTTATATATAAAAAAAAATCATCAGAACAAAAACTCTGGAATTGATTTTTACTCTTTGCAGGGAACCGAAGCTGCTCCATCCTCATCTCTGGCATCAGCAATAATAATAATATTAATAATAATAATAATTTGTTTGCGCGTGCGGTCGGTGCGCCCCTGCCTTCCAGGATCCATGGGTTGCACTGTGAGCGCAGAGGATAAGGCTGCCGCGGAGAGGTCCAAAATGATAGACAAAAACCTCCGTGAAGATGGAGAGAAAGCTGCAAGAGAAGTGAAATTGCTGTTATTAGGTAGGTAACCTCAGGCTGGAATCTAAACTGGAAGGAGTGTAAGCTGGCATTAAAAACACACACACACACATATTCAGGTGCATTAAGACAGGAAAGTGTCTTATATTAGCAGTAATTAAATAGATAGAGGCATCCCAATGATCATCTGGATTATTTAACAGTTYATCATGTCAACAAGCTGCCAGCTTTTCAGCTTGATTTAATGTTGCTTCACAGAAACTGTGGACCAGGACTTAAACATTAACAGAAGCTGCAGCTCCACCAGCATGCAGGAACACAACACAACAACACAACATAACAAATCTACACGGTTTGCTTAAAAAAAGGGGGGGGGGGGAAATAAAATAAAGCACATTAAAAAGATGGTTATATTAGAGGACTCTTGGAGCTTTTGAACACATTGTCTTCATTCTTCCCTCGGCCTTTTCCCTCTCCTGTACTGAATGTGCCAACACTCTGTCACACATACACACACAGGCAAACAGCCAACACACATCCTCCTACTCATTACCACATTCTCACTTCTCTTATCCGTTTCAGCTGATTTTGTCTTCCATCATTAGGATTAGGATTTGTCTATTTTCACTGAATGTGCTCAAATAACACCAGACCTGGAGTACAGTATCAAGGTTTTTGCATGTGTGTGTGTGTGTATGTGTGTGTGTGTGTGTGTGTGTGTGTGTGTGGACATGGATGATGGAGGAAAGAGGCAGATGGGGATGAAAGTGTGTCATCTTGCTGTAACAAGCTGTTGGTCCTGTTAAGTTAGTGGTTGAAGACAGGAGGATGCCCACCTTATATGATAATCCAGAATTTTGTGTTTGTTTCACATTTATTGTGACAAAGTGAGCTTTATGTATAAATAACYGTATGCCAGAAGCCCTCCCTGATGCAACCCCTGACCACCAAGCTACCTCAGCTCACACGTGTGAAGTCGAGGGMTGCCATAGGGTGCCGGAGGGAGTTGAGGGCCTTGCTCAAGGGCCCAGAGTGATGCAGATTAGGGTGGAGGCAGGTGAAGGTGCTTCACCCTTACCCACCATAGTCAGACCATTGTAAACCATATTGATCTCAGGCTCTCCTCCAACCTCTGCACCACCGCTCCTCCTTATGGTGAGCTACCGTACAAGGGGGAAARAGAAACAGATTAATGGGATCTTCTAAACTGCTTCTTGATGCTTGATTATGCTCCTGATTTGCTTGTTTGATTTTCTGTCAGCCGTTCATGCCCCTATGAGCCGCGGTGATCTTTGAAAGTTTGTATGTGATGTCACAACAGAGGAGGAGGGGGGGGGGCTGTTTTGTTAAAGGATAATGATAAAAGAGTGGGCGACCCCCTGAATGGCGTGCATTGTGAGTGAGCACAAAATAGTTCAGATTTGGCATCGGCAAGGCAAAGATGAAAAAAAAAGAGAATTGGGACTAGAAGTAGGTCATTTAGTGACGTTTCTCAGGACATCTTGACACGTTACTCTAAAGCTAGRCGGTTTGTGACTAGTTGAAGACAAAAATTGTGAGAAAATGAGCACATTTTCGCTTAAAATTGGACTAAATTTGCATTTACCATGACATCCAGCTAGTGATGTGCATTTTTTGTTACATGTCTGAGTTTAATTTTGTTTGTTATTATTTTCTGCACCAATAAAATCATTGTACAGTTTAGTGCAGGGGTGYCCAAACATTTTCCCTGAGAGGACCAAAATTAAAAAACATTTTTTTTCTGAGAGGGCCAAAATTAAAATCAGTCTGAGGGCCGCGGGCCAAATGCAATAATATAAGAAAATGCTTGTTTTATTTTTTATGATTAAGCTAGCAGCCAGTGTGGTTGCCCACATTCTTTAGTTTTTTTTTTCAGCCCATGGACATGGAGAAAATTCAACGTATGCTCARGCAGCAAAGGCTCATGTGACTTTTCATAATTTAAAATTTGAGTATATGTGGTCTTATAAGGTGTGCAAATCTATATATGGGCTTAAATCTAATCTAAATGTCTCTTGTAGTTACTTGTATTTTATATTTAACCTTAACAATTACAATCTAATAACCAGGACAACTGCTTGTGGGCCAAATCAAATGGCGCAGCGGGCCAATTTTGGCCCGCGGGCCCCACTTTGGGCACCTCTAGTTTAGTGTATATTTCCAAGTGAATAAAATTTTGAGGATATTCTGATCTCATTTAATCTCATTCTGGTCCTGCTGCTACCTGGAGGAAACTTCTAGTTGTGTAAATAAGGCAGTAATTAACAACATGATTTGCCATCTCGAACGTATCATTGGTGTGACTGAATCTGTGTGGTTCGAGCGTCTCTCAATTTTAGAAAGTCATTCATCGTTGATGAGCAATCTAACAAACCAGAAGGGGGGGACACATCATTACCATACTGCTTATAAGCAGAAGAGATAAAACAAACTGATTGCCTGCATCTGGATGAAAAGTCACACTCGTGTATTTCAGAGCGCTAACAGCGTGCTTGACGTGATGCTTCGGCAGAGAACGTAAATATTTCACCATGTGTCCAGAGGAATTAAATCAAGCACGTTTTGCCCGAGTATGAGCAATTTTGTACAAGATTTATTTCTTGGCCGTGTGCAGCGAGGTTCTGTAGTCCTGCTGTCAACAAAATGAAGCTGCTACACAACCAACATTACAACAGCCGTTTTGCACATCATTCATTTGGATGGCCTTCCTGTGAAGGAATAATATCACAACCAAAAGCAAAAGCTCAACCTTGAACCAAGCTGACTTCAAAAGTTAATCAATTGTACAATTACTTAAGAGTTCTATAAAARTTCATCCTCTGATTTATGAGCTATTTTGCCGACAGGCTGTGTTGACTCCTGCAGTTCACCTTCAAGTTTAAAACCAGGCTAATGGGATCTTTTAGCATTCAGATTATGTGTTGTTGATGTTGACACTCTATGTTAGCCTAATATGTGTAAAAATAATTAAGTTGCAGCCATTTTTGTGTTTGCTAAGGTTGATTAGCTATGGTGGCCATTTTGAATAAGGTTGTCTCAGACAGGTAACTGGTTTTAATCCAGTGATTGAGAGCCATTAAAATGTTCCCAGTGGTTCATAAAGTAAGATATATCACTAACAGTGATATTTCATAATAATTTTACTCAAGAAAAARTAGTATATAGTGCTTTTTCTCCCCAAAAGGCTACTCAAGTAAATGTGAGTAAATGTAACTAGTCACTGCCCACCTCTGTAACACAATCTCCTCTGAAATCAGGAAAGAAAAACCAAAATCTATTATTAAACAGCACCATGAGTACAAATTAGCTATGATTTACACCAGTTCAATGTGTCATAAAAATAATCTTATTTAAGAATGTTTAAAAAGACAGGAAGTCGGTCCAGCTAGGCGACTTTCTGTTCCCCTGTCCCTAATTTTTACCCATCCTTTCTCCTTTAGAAACTCAATGAATCATCATTCACTCCAGCTTACTTCTTAATCTCCTCTTCAAGCATAATAACAGTACTTCACAGACATTAGTCACTTCTCTTGGCAAAAAAGAGGAGCTTAGGGTGAGACTGKCCCTCTAGAGATGACAACCTCCCAACTATCCACTTACTGAAAGAATATACTTATCATGTTAGTCATGTCTCCGGAGAATACCACCAAGTCATCAGGAAATACACCTGCGTGCTGAACTGGCAGGAAATAACTTGCACTACATTCATGGTTAGAATTCAGTTTTTACTTTGATTCAAACAAACAAACAAACAAAAAAAAATATAAATATACATACACAAAAACCTAATTTAGCAGGTTGTGTTACAATATCAGACATACTTTGTTTAATGAGGAAAAACAAAACTTGGCTCTGTGTTGCAGAGCCTGTTGTTTTTGCGTACAAAAGAAAGAATGGTGCATCTTTTTGGGCATTGTGCACGGGTTGTGCCTTATTTTGGCATGAGATCACATCCAAGACAATGCAACCTCATTGTGTGTGCTCCTTGATGAAGTGGGAAGTGTAGCTCTGGATATTTCCTGAGGCAGGATGCTGGTTTATGACACCCTGTAAGAGTGTTAAGTTTGGTGTTTGTGGAAGTGAGAATTAGACTCACAATCAGGCCGATGACCGTGGGGACATGTTCAGACCTGACATCCGCTTCCAAAAATGATTCCCTCCTTTTTTGATTGTTTGAGTCACATTCATATAGTATTCAGTACAAGTTAATGAATTACAACACAACACTGGTGTGCGACCGAGCCATTCATGTCGAGATATATTTTAGGAAACTATAGCCTGCCTCATTCCAGCATGMATATGGTACAATCATCAGCCTGTTCACCTTTTTCCTATGACATTCAGAGAACACAACGATGAAAGACTCCATCTTGAGGCTCCAAGCCTCAGACAACATGACTGAGCCGTGCAGATGGCTTTTAGACGTAAAGCCAGAAGGGTTGCTAACTCCTGAAGGGGTACATGAATATCAGAACAGGAACATATTTTTTCGATTAAAGGAGGAGAATTAAACCAAAMAAACAAACAAACAAAMAAAAAAAACCAAACAAACAGACTTTTCCCAGAAGGATGATGTTTTCTGTTGTAATTCATGCCACATGAAAGTCAGGCAAGAATAAAAGAAAAAAAAGTCTTCAAAGCAAAGTCACTGCTGTGAGCATGATAAATTTAAAACCAGCTGTTTTGAGTTTTTGTAATATTAAAGTATACCTGCGTTAAGTTATTTTTGGAGGCTTCAAATGCATGAACAGGAAAAACATCTTTGAATTTTTAAATAGTTTGTTGGGGACAGTGTCGTGTTTGTGGCTGAATGGATCCAAAAAGGAAATGGTTAAAGAGTAGTCCATGGCAGCTGGACTTCCTATTGAGTTTTAAAGATGTTTCTCTTCTCACAAGTTTCTCAATTAAAACTGAAAAACAAGGAATTCTAAGCCTCTAAATCATCTAAGCGTTTTAATCACTGACTGAAAATCTTCAAACACATTGCTTCAAGAAGAGCTTTCAGTTTAAATCTGGCTCTT